GGTGGTCCTCTGTTTTCTTCGGAATTGGCCGGACAACCCAGATTTGTCTCTGCGCCAGCTGTCGGCCAAACTCACCTTGCTTCTATGTTTAGTATCTATTCGGCGAGTTTCGGACGTGCGAGCGTTCCACGTGGATGGTTTCTGGATTTCACCAGAAGGAGTTACCTTCACGGTGTCTCGTAGAACTAAAACGAATTCAGCATCTATATCTTACCCCTTTTTCACTACAGTTCCCCGTTTATGTGTAGTTTCCACACTTACTCGATATGTAGAGGCCACTGCAAATCTTCAAGCTTCTAGTATTGGACAACTGCTGGTGTCTTATACCAAACCCTACAAGCCGGTTACCACTACTACTCTGGCTAGATGGGTTCGTTGGATCTCATCCCTAGCAGGAGTGGAGACGTGTTTCTGGGCTCACTTGGTTCGGGGGGTGGCCGCTTCTTGAGCGTTCTCGGCGGGAGCTTCTCTAGCTGATATCTTACGTTCCGCAGACTGGACACGAGAAGACACTTTCTGGTTATTTTATTTTTGTCAGATCACTCACGCATCTTTCTCGTTATTACCTCAGCTTTAAAAATGCAAAATAGGAAGCCTCCTGTCATGTGATAAAATTGTAGATTATGCTAACGTAGTGTAACTATAATCTTAATTTGAATAATGACAGGAGGCGAGTATTTTCCTTGTCTTTTCTATGGGTCATCTTATTTCACCGTTTCTTTTGCTCAATTATAATTTGTATAGTTTATCTATATTACAATTGCAAGAAAAAGTATGTGAACCCTTTGGAATGATATGGATTTCTGCACAAATTGGTCATAAAATGTGATCTGATCATCATCTAAGTCACAAGAATAGACAATCACAGTCTGCTTAAACTAATAACACACAAAGAATGAAATGTTGCCATGTTTTTATAGAACACACCATGTAAACATTCACAGTGCAGGTGGAAAAAGTAATTTCTTCCGGTGATACCGAAAAGACCGTCTACATCAAATTCCACTACATCTGATACCCGACGTAACTATGTAACGTAAAAGTAACGTAACTATGGCTGACGGCTGACGGAGGGATAGGTCCGTGTTATCTGACTTGTTCCAAAAGAACCAAATCAAAGTTCCCCTTTGGAGAAGCCGCGTTGGAGCCGCGGCGGTGTTTAGATGATAAGGTGTCTGACCTAACGTTGTTGGTATCTCTAGCTTCCATAGCGGTGGTGCCGTTGCACCCGCCCTGTCGGCTGGGTTGTTAGCCAGCATATTGGCGAGGACTTCTTCCCCTGAAGCTGCCATGGCGGCCTTAATCCTCGCCTGAAAAATCGGTTGGGGATAGTGAGGGAAGTCCGACATGTTGGTTCACACCCTTTCGGTCTGTGGGAGACAGGATCGTACAACCGTACATTTATTGCCACTCAGTGGGAATTTCGATCAATGAGTACCACTTTCGCAGGATCCGGGGAGTGGTCTGAGAATGAGGACACTCTCAGTAAGACCGGGATGAGCGGTCTGCAATGTCGGGACGTAGCCCGAGTATGGGAGATGTGAAAGCCTCATAGAAACATAGAATGTGATGGCAGATAAGAACCATTTGGCCCATCTAGTCTGCCCAATTTTCTAAATACTTTCATTAGTCCCTGGCCTTATCTTATAGTTAGGATAGCCTTATGCCTATCCAACGCATGCTTAAACTCCTTTACTGTGTTAACCTCTACCACTTCAGCTGGAAGGCTATTCCATGAATCCACTACCCTCTCAGTAAAATAATACTTCCTGATATTATTTTTAAACCTTTGTCCCTCTAATTTAAGACTATGTCCTCTTGTTGTAGTAGTTTTTCTTCTTTTAAATATAGTCTCCTCCTTTACTGTGTTGATTCCCTTTATGTATTTAAATGTTTCTATCATATCCCCCCTGTCTCGTCTTTCCTCCAAGCTATACATGTTAAGATCCTTTAACCTTTCCTGGTAAGTTTTATCCCGCAATCCATGAACCAGTTTAGTAGCCCTTCTCTGAACCCTCTCTAAGGTATCAATATCCTTCTGAAGATACGGTCTCCAGTACTGTGTACAATACTCTAAGTGAGGTCTCACCAGTGTTCTGTATAATGGCATGAGCACTTCCCTCTTTCTACTGCTAATACCTCTCCCTATACAACCAAGCATTCTGCTAGCATTTCCTGCTGCTCTATTACATTGTCTGCCTACCTTTAAGTCATCAGAAATAATCACCCCTAAATCCCTTTCCTCGGATGTAGAGGTTAGGACTCTATCAAATATTCTGTACTCTGCCCTTGGGTTTTTACGTCCAAGATGCATTATCTTGCACTTATCCACATTAAATTTCAGTTGCCACAATTCTGACAATTTTAGTTAGTCTAGTTTACCTAAATCATTTGCCATTTGGCTTATCCCTCCTGGAACATCAACCCTGTTACATATCTTAGTATCATCAGCAAAAAGACATACCTTACCATCAAGACCTTCTGCAATATCACTAATAAAAATATTAAAGAGAATGGGTCCAAGTACAGATCCCTGAGGTACCCCACTGGTGACAAGTCCAAGCTTCTCAATATGTATAATCCAAGGGGGTCATCCTTATATGGCCTAGAATTGTGGCGTTTTGGCAGCACTGTGAGTTCTCCTTCTCAGTTAAGGAAGGGCGTACGGATCCCCCAGTTGAAGCATAGAGGTGCCAGAATACATGCATCTAGTACGTCCTGGTCTGTGCATACAATGACAGAGCGTACTCTGAAGGAGACATACATACAGGGGTGACCCCCCCCTATGCTGGGTGACCACCAAGCGAGTCTTACTCCGGTGCTAGTGGCATACGTACAAAGGGGTGACCCCCCCTGCCGGACGGGGTGACCCTCCACGCCTTTTATAATAACCTAATAAATAATAAAACTCCAAGTAATGTGGAGCTCTGTGACAAGATCATATACTACACAATAATACACTAATGGACATATTACTTAGAGTTGTATCACCGAGATCCAGGGCCGGTGTAAGGATTTTTGGGTACACAGGCGAAGATTATTTTGGCACCCCCCCCCCCGCGTCCCCTGTCCCCGTCCCCTCAAAAAAAAATGCATCATCACCTGTGTGCCTCTTAACCCCCCTTTTAAATGTCTTAACCCCCCTTTTGAATGTGTATTTCTTATAACCCCACTTTGTGTGTCTTACTCCGCCCAGCCCCTTTGTGTTTCTCCTTCTCTCCTAGCCAATTTGTGTCTTTTACTCTTTCCAGCTCATTTATGTGTTTCTGTTTTACCCCCAGCCCATCTGTCTCCCCTTAGCCCCTCTGTGTCTCTTTTTACTCTTCTCCAGCCCCTCTGTGTCTTTCACCCCCTTTGTTTTTCCACCCCCAGGCCCTTCTGTGTGTCTCTTATATCTCCAGCCCCATCTGTGTTTCTTTCTACCCCCTCACGTCCCTCTGTGTGTCTTTCTCCCCACCCAGGCCCCCCTGTGTGCCACTCTCCCCTCCATGTCCCTTAGTGTTCCTCTCCCCTCCATATCCCTTACTGGTGCTCTCCCGTCCCTGTGCTTTAGTGGTCCCCTCCCTGTTCATTAGTATTCCTCTCCCCTCCATGTCCCTTAGTGGTCCTCTCCAGAATGTACGATAAAGGAAGGTTAAACATTAGATCTCTCTTTACATGTAGTGTTTAGAAAGGCTTTGCGAGTCACAAGTGAGGAGGTGTGACTAGGGCTGCTTGGAGAACTCTGAGGACACCACTGGTGGTTTGTCCCTAAATATGCCTGTATTTATTGTGATAATATGAGTTTTTAACTTTAAAAAAATAAACGATTAAGAAAGAGAACACTATCCGGTTATTTTCTCATTATTAAGTAACCACCTTAGGGAATGCAGCACCTATTGAAATTAAATTTAGGGCTATCCTTGAGTTTGACATATTCAGATTTGTTTTTTAATAAACTAATTTTGGATGCTTATTATTGTTATTTCTAAAATAATTGCACTTAATTCAGGGTTTTTGGAATCCAAGTGAGAATTTATTTGCTTCTAGCCTTCCTTTTTAATTTTGTGTATTTCTAACCATTTCTTTTATATTGTAATTGTGATTGTGTGGACTTTGTTAATGTCTCATTAACGGCCAGTAACATACCACACCTTTGCAAAACTATTATACGATAGTATATAGTGTATAGAACACCTGTTAACCAGTTCACAAAGCTATTAATCCATATAATATAATCCATAGAACTAGCACATTTTGATAACCATACCTGACATTCTGCCATGCTGCATGACAACTGCATTGGAATTAAGCGAGGGAGGAGAGGGGTATTTGGTGAATATGGCCACTGGAAATGACTTAGTGGACTGACTGGACTGCCTGAACTTACATCCACTTTCACTAGACTCTACAAGGAAACAAATCAAAGATTTAATGAAACACCTAACATTCCTATATGTCCATCACTGTCATTATGTGGCAATACAATGTGTTCTTACAGATAATCAGTGTATGCAAAAATGTCAGCAAAAACCATGCTTTTCTAAGTAGCATTGCATACAGCAGTGACCAATGATTTTGCAGTTGGCTAGAATGTTAGTGTAACACTGAATATTACTTACTATGCAGGCTGTTCTGTCTCACTTCCTGTACCTTCCTGTATCTGCAGCACATTGACCCATACGCGGGCGGGCTCCACTGCATGGGCGCCGCCATATTGGAGCCTGCAGGGGGAACCAGGTGTGCCAGCATCAGACCGCAGGGGACTCTGGGGGAGGTGAAAGTCGGGCCCTCCTCCTCATGAGGAGAGGGCCGCACAGACTTCACCTCCGTGTGCAGTAAGGGAGAGGTCTATGTGTGAATGCAGGTGTATATTTTTGCAGAGTTATGTGCACACAGTCCGACAGTCAGATGCACACA